AAAAAAAAAAATGTAAAGAAAAAAAATCAGAAACCGTCCATCTCCTGCCATCAAGAAATCCATCTCATGGACAAAGACATACATAGATTAAAAGTGAAGGTCTGGAAAAAGGTATTCTATGCAAATGGAACCAAAAGAGAGTGGTAGTCATTATACTGCTTTCTGACAAAATAGGATATAAGACAAAAACCGTAAGAGACAAAGGAGGGCTTTATATAGTAGGAAAAGAGATAATCCATCAAGAAGATATAACAGTTATAAATATCTTTCCACCCAATTCAAGAGAACCCAAATGTGTAAAGGAAATACTTCTAGTTCTAAAAGGAGAGATAGACTATAACACACAAACTGTTGGAGATCTCAATACCCTATTATCTTCTTTAGACAGATCAACAAGAAAAAAAATGAACAAAAAGATTCAGGACCTAAATGATACCATAAATAAAATGGACTTGACAGACATATATAGAACTTCCCGCCCCCCAAAACACAAAATATGCATTTTTTCAGCCCCATATGGTATCCTCTTGAAAATTGAGCACATGATATGCCACAAAGCCACACTTTACAGATTCAGAGGTTTAAAAAGTATAACAAGCATCTTCTCCTTCCATGATGGAATTAAACTTGATAGTAATCTCAGGAAAAACCCTCAAAAGTGCACAAATACATGGAAACTAAATAATCTACTTCTGAATGACTTCATGACTACTGAAGAGATTAAGACTGAAGTCAAAAGATTCAGGGAAGCAAATGGTAATGAGTGCATGAGCTTCCATAATCTATGATCATAAGAGGGAAGTTCATAGCAATTAGTGCGCATAAGAAGGAGATGGAAAGGTGGCAAAAGGACAACTTAACATCAAGCCTCAGGGAACTGGAAAAACAAACAAAAAAAAATACAAAAAATTCCAGGAGAAAAGAAATAAGGATTTGAACAGAAATAAATGAAATAGAAAATAAACAAAGTATACAAAAATAAATTAAAGCAAAACTTGGTTCTTTGATAAGATAAACAAGATAGACACACAATTAGCTAGACTAATTAAGAAGAAGAGAGAAAGGAACCAGATAAATAAAATTCACAATGAATCAGGCAACGTTATAATAGACTTACAACACGATTAGAGGATACTAACAGCAATTATACTTCAACAAAGAAGAAAACCTGGATGAGATGGACAAATTCCAGGACACATATAATCTACCAAGGTTGACTCAGGAGGACATTGAAACCTGAATAGACCC